TTGCACATTCTGCCTGTTAAGACAGTTCCTACAAAGACCATTGTAGGAACATCTTAAATAACAATATGAAACTGTGTATAATATACAGTGATTCAAGAAACCAGGAGGTTGGAGTTAATTGCTACACATACAGTGAATAACTTAAAAAAAAAAAGTTTTATCATGGGAGGCTTTTTATTTCTAAAATCTGTACTATTATTTAATTGAAGATTTGCAACACCATAATAAAGACACATGCATCAATCTAATCAAAGTGAGCTTAAATACATGACGGGAATTCTTTGAGTAATTTTAAATATATCTGAATGTATTATGAAATTTACATTTGTCAACAGGTTCAAGATTTGTGCAATGTCTAAAAGTAGAATGTGAATAATGCAGTTGAAAATTTCATTGCTCGCAGTATAAAGTTTTACTTAATACAGGAAAAGTAAAGCTAGATACACTTTTCCTTTTTAAGCCTGCAGATTTTCTAATTACAGTGGATCTTTGGCTGGGATCATGTTTAAAAAAAAGGAAAAAAAAGAAAAAAAAAGAAAAAAAAAAAGGAAGCTTTCCATAAAGGCCAGTATTTATCACTGACCTTTTCTGAACACACTGGTGCTTTCATCAGGGGTATTATTATTGTTGCTACGACTGAATTGCCAAACTCTCGTCTTAGTTTTTGGAGCAAAATTTCATATTCTAACAGTCATAATAGCTACTGATTTTTTTTTTTTTAAATGTTAGTATGACTGTTAGTTTTTATTATTTGGCTGTTTAAAGCCAAATTCAGCTATTTAATTATGATTTAATGGGCACTGTTGAAAAATGTACAGTGTATTGTGTGCTTACTTGTCCACTTCTATGGAGCATAGCTTCCATATTTTTTAAAATGCTGTGCTGTAAAATATTGTCATTGCTACTTATGTGGTACAGTGTAGTTTTTCCCTTTCATTTAAATAAAAGCATGGCACCAAAAGTACATTTTTTGTTTTCTTGCTTACATGTAAATATAAAATGAAATTATAAAAAGTTCACATTAATGTTTAAATCTTGTTTCTTGTATTTCAGCAACACAGAAATTGTAGGAAATACGCACGATTTTTATGTCTCCTTTTGTCCCCCATTGTTTGTCTCACTTTTAATATAGTTTAGTTTTCTGATGTTATCAGAGGAGGCTATTGAAGAATCAGGCTTCTCATTCCATTCTAGAGGACAACATGGTGTTACCCTCTTCTTTTCAGAAGTGAGTTTCACAATTGCAAGTCAACTGATAAACTCCTGTACCCTGGTTAGCGTCTGTTGTTCCAAAACCAAACCACAGAAACTCCCTGGTCGGTATAATAGGATTGCTTCAGACGGGAAGGTTTTCCAGATGAACTGAAGTGTTATCTTCATCAAGACAGCTATTAAAGAATAGGACTTTTGGTTAAATAACTTGTACTTGTTAGTGGTGCAATCTTGAGCGGAAATAGTATCTAAAGAATAAGGTGTCTCTTCCAGATTTGTAAATTAGCAATTTTTTCCAGTCCAAATCACGCCTTTTTTGGGGGTTTTGTGTTGTCCTGCAGGGTTTCAGAGCAAGAGCAAGGACTTGCTGAAAGGGGACATGACATCACTGCACTGTCAACAGACAGACTGAATTGTTGGGCTAACTTATGCAGATAAAGAATCTCTAAATTTCAGAGCTATTCAGAGTGCAGCTTCAAGAATACCGGCAACTTCATAGTAGGGGTTTTAGTACTGAATTGAAAACTAATGTGGATGAAAGTGAATACCCTTCCCTCCTCCCCTCAAAACTGGTTATTTTTCAGCAAGCTGAATCAGTTCCCTGTATGGCATCACAAAGCCTGGAATTATGTTGGAACACAAACACCCAGTTGCACCCAGTAAAGCTATTTTTTCAGGGGTGAGCCCAGCTCAACATTTTCATCTAAAAACAGCCTTTGTACAGACAGGCTTTAGAACAGACTTCATTTTCTGTGTCCTGCAGCGAGTAACACCACACTTGAGAACTCAGATCACACCCCTGGTTAATTTGACAGCATATGACCGTACTGTGTCTGAATTTGTACAGAATTTGTGAATCAAAATTTGTACTGCTGTGGGATCCAGTGCAGAGATCTGGTATCACCAACTGCAGAATAATCATCTCGGTTACACTTGGAACCTAAGCTTTTGGATCAAAATAGCTTTGTTTCTCAAATCCAGCTGTACTGATCAGGTTTAGATATCAGTTGTCTTTTTTCCAACAACTTCATTAAAAAAAATAGACACAGCTTTATAAGGGCTAAAGGTTTAACTACTTGTATCTTTTCAAATAGCAAATTAGCATTTCTTTGCTGCCTTGTTACTAAATAAGCTAAATAAGCAGTTTGAAGAATTCTGGCTATAAAGATCTATTTTGACAGCCATAGTCCTTTTCATCTGCTTTTACATTTTCCAGTTAATTAAAAAAAATAAAAAACAACAACAACAAAACCCCACACAAATTCTCTTAATCCAGGTCTAGATGACAAAAAAAAAAAAGTATTTTTAACATGCACAGCAACTGTGTTCATTTATAAGCAATTTGTTTTTAAAAGCAAACCATTTAGGAAAAAAGATGTGAAGTGTGTTTGTCTATGTATACGTATAAATGCACATGTACTTTCAGACTTACTTGGTTACACACAGATGTAAAAAGAAATGTATTTTATTTAGACAACCACAGCAAAGAGTTAAACAGGGCAGTGAAGTTACCCTAGCTTATTTCCTTTGAGCAAGAAAGAAAAGCAGCTCTCTTGTCTGTTTTACACTCGGAACTACTGGTCTTCTGGAGAGACAGGGAAGCCATATACAACCTATACACTTAGGAGCTCAGTACAAACTCTTTGGGAGATGGAGTTCTTAACACCAGGCTTTTTATCAAATTTCTGAATTTGAGGATAACGCTGATGAACGCTAGACAGAACTGCTTCTGATCAGGAAAGCTAGTAACAGCTGGGATTTCATGAAAGGACAGAAAATGATAGAAAAGAGTTAAGCATTCAACTGAATGTTATTTAAAACTTTCTTCAGGCTCTTACTCAACATTATGAACAACTGGATGTATAAAATACTTGGGAGTAAGTAGTTAATTTGTTAAGCAAGATACTGAAGAAATTTTTTTCATGTAAGATACACATCTTAAGTTATGTAAGTTTTCAGTGAATAGTATGTGAACTTTATGGACACATACAAAATAATATCTATAGGCATTTTTATGCCACTGTTAATCTGTCGATGGAGCTTTGCAGGAAGACTAAAAGCTAATATGAAGCTTTTCATCAAGGCAGCTCTGTCTTGTCCTTTCTACATCATCACTGATCTAAATGTCAGCGTTGAGACCTGGCAAGGCCCCACAAGCCTGCAATTATTTCAATTACCTGAAGCCAGATTATACTTTGGCTCAGTATTTCTCTTGTTTAAACTACCTGAAACTGGAGCAATGGCACTGTCGTAAACAATTCTCCTATAGATTATGCAAGAATTTTGCTGACTTGTTGCCCCAAAGTTCTGGAAATCCTTTCTTGAAATGAGCGAAAACTGTTTACAGAAGT